CTTGTAATAGAAATATCTCTTATAAATATTTTAAACTTGAATTTTAAAGAATTTAAGATTATTTCTTCTTTTTTTATTAAAGCTCTAGTCCAAGTTTCAGCTGTTAAATTTTTTAAAAAATATAATTTGGGGCTCTGATAGAGAGGACTTAGCTGGGCTAAGCTATTTTGATACTCTTACAAGATAGTAAAGTTCAGATAGAGATCATTTCCTGAACATGGTTGACCTTTAACAGAACTGATTATTTCCTCACCCAAATAATTATGCAGGATACTGCCATATCTGCACTACAAAAATCTTGTCAGAATTTATGGACAATTGTTTACCATCTATGTTTAAAAACCTTGCACCACCAGAGAGGCAAAGCAAATACAAGTGAAAGTAAGTAAACTTGTTTCTAGTCTAGTATATTTACCTAAATAAACTCTTATAAAATCATATGGAAAAATTATTGTATAGAAAGTAATTTTCTTATTAACTGATTTGTCAGCCAAAAAGTCATTACTAAATCTCCGTAAAAAGAGAAAACTCAACCATAAAATGTCTACCTGTTTAAATAAAAATGCCAACTTTGAAGTCTTTTAACACTAAGACATAAAAAAAGTTTGCAAACTCAAGGTGATAATTAAACTGAAAGCTATAGTTCAAAAATTTGTGTTCCTAGTAAGAGACTAAAATCTTGTCACTGCAAAATTCCCTATGGTTCTTGGCACTGACATCAAAAGAAAGATTTTAGTCTTTTGGTCACTTGAAACTGCTATAAATACAGCAAGTCTTTAAAAAAGAGGTAAAAGTGAAAAATTGAAGTATAGTTAAGGTAACTACATCATATACAAGTAAAACATAGTTTGAAATAAACAGTCACTTCTGCAAGGGATCTGAAGACGTAAGAACAGTTTCCCACTGCCCCTTCTTTTTTGAAGAGAATCCTCTGATCAGGAATAATTTCTTTAAGTTACTGTGAGTGGTGTTGCCTGGCAGCAGCTTCAATATCCTAGGCTAGTCTTCGAGTAATTAAGTAATCTCACAAGGAATAATCATACATGGCAACAGGGTAAAAAGCAGGGCAGTTCTTCCATGCACAAACATTTCAGGAGAAAAACCATCAATTTTAAAGATAACCATCAGGTTTCAGGTATCCTAGCATACTCTAAACCTAAGTTTTGCTTTATACCATTGGTGACAATAAGTTTTGCAGTGAGATTTTTTTCTTTTTTGCCTGCAACTATATACACATTGCAAAACTATTCTGCATCACATGATTTTTAAATGAAATAAATATAAAAATGAACCACACAATCAACACATAACTTTAATACTCGACATTATTTATCTTGATCACAATGGTGGTAACCTCGTCAACAATCTTGTGAGTTGAGGAGCTGATTCTCATTCTCATATCCATCAGGCAGATAGGCTCTCCGCAGCTGGTCTGACTTAGGTATGGAGCCTCCATTCTTCACATGGCGAGACAGGAAAGCACGGACTGCTGGGTGATCAGCCTTCTCAAGTGGGATATTGGCTTCCAGGCACATTTTCACAAAGTCCTGGATAACACTGACTTTCTCTGTTTGCGCAGTACTGTTGCACTGAAGAGATGCAGTCAGGGGCCTCTGCTTCTTTCTCACGTTCTGCTCTTCAAATTCTGCCTTCCTCTTGGTATGAGTCTTTGACTTGAGGTGGTCACTAATGGCAGACTTGCGAACATGATTCAGAACCACATTGCAAGAAGTGCAGAAGAGTTTTCCTCCATCTTCATGCAGCTCACCTCCAAACTCCGAGACTCGATCCAGGGGAGTCACATACAAAGCAGTCTTAGAACGGTTTCGAGCAGGTGGTGCTGTTACTACAAATCGTTCCATTCTAGCTTTGAATAAGATTCTTTCAAGACAAGAGAAACAAAGATACCTGTTATAACAACAGCTCATTTTGGAAATAATTAACAATAAAAAGCAGGGTATAGGCACTCTAAGATTTAAGACTTCAAAAAATGTAATTCAAATTAATAGACTGTGTCCATTAAGTCTCAACTTATCCAAAATAAGCAAGGGAAGGCAAAACTAGAGCAAGTTACTAGTTAAAACTAGATCCATTCCTTGATTTTTATGAAATTCAAATAAATTAGAACTATGAAAAACAACTCAAACTATCCCAGATGTCACTATCTTTTATAACAGGAAAACATAATCACAGGTCAACAGGTAGAGTATTAATTAAATTAATCTTATCCAATTTAGGTATGTATTCAAGTTTAAAAGAGATTCCGTCCTATCACAATTTTGGGGCAACTGATTTTAGGAATTCAACTATGGGCAAAGTTTGTTCAAACAGGTGGGCTGATAAACTGGCATAATTCTATATGAAGATGGATATAGATTCCAAAATTGTTCTGAGGAAAATAAAATAAAAACTAATAAAAAATACAGACCAAATGCAATTTACAACGACAATGCATTAAATTTTAAAGCCAAAATATAGAGTTTAAAGTAAGTTATTTTTTAATGCATGCATAATTCTCTTAAACTTTCTGAAATGCAAAGTAATACTAATACTTTCTCTAAGATATGCAAAGTGCTTTATCTAATACTTTTTGTTTCCTTTTCCTATTAAAGACTAATAATTAAATTTGTTAACATCTATTTCACTTATCCAGTAGAAAGTTAGAACAAAACCAAGAACTTAACATAGTGTCTAGTATATGACAGAAGCTCAATCAAAACTTGATGGAAAAAGTAAAGGAGCATATTCACTATTTGTCCAAATATTTATTTAACTTAGAAGCAAGCAGCTTAATACTTTCTCAATTTATCCTAATAACAAGCTTTTATGATTACTGGAACTTTATGGGCATTGAAACCCTGAGATAATGAATTATTTTGGTAGGTGAAAAATAGTCATTAAGTCTTAATTGTTCCCTGGAGTTGTGCCTTTGGACTAAGCTCTTGTAACAACCAAGATGTAAAAACTTAAAATAAATTGACAGAATCCAAGTTGGAATTCTGTTGTGTACAAATATGTGAGTGAAAGATTCCTAAGTGTGCTCTGAAGAACTATGCTTTATGTAATCGGAAACAACAGAGTATTCTATTAATCCATACTAGAGAATAGCTGGGTAACATGAAATCTCTTTAAAAAAATTTTTAAATTGTCAATGTGTTAGACACCCATAGACCCAACCCAGAGAATTTTGTATTTCACAGAAATTATGGAAAGTATAATGAAGTCTGGGTTTTAGTAGGCTTAATTCTATTTTTTACCATCAAAGGTTTTTTTTTTTTAGGGCAGAGCTCTCATTTGCTAAATATAGTGTCAGGCTACAGGTGTGCAATGGCAGAGAAGGCAGATAAGATTCCTGTGTAGTACTTAGTGAATTACCATTACACATATTTGTATTTTAAGTTAATGGTATGTGTTTCACACTCCCATAAAAAAATCAGTCCCGATTATAATTAACAGTTCTAAGTTAGTTATGAAAAACATTAAATATTTGCACTCACTAATGCCTAAATCTTACTTTCTAAGTGAAAAATCATCTATCTTTAAATATTGAGATTTCAAACTTTAAAACAGTAAGTATGTAATTTTTGTAACATAAAATGCTCAATCACTTGTGTAAATGTGAAAGGCCTATATACTTTAGAGTGTCTTGTAACTTTCAAAAACCCTGTTTGTGTTACTGCAGAGGCAAATAACTACCCAGTAGAGGATGCTCGAGTTTACATTCCTGAAGAACAAAAGTGTTTTCAATAGAAGATAAGAGATATTTTAAACGAGTAAGTTAAAAAGTTAAGAGGAGTTAGCCAACAAAAGAGAAGCAGCAAATCATTTACTAGATCAAAATTAAAGTCATCAAAAGTTTTCAAGTTTAAATGTTTACCGGATTAGTTTCCAGTTTTTTTCGTCTTGATACTTAGTGAAGGGTCTCCAGAGCAAAACCAGAGACGCATCAAATCCTGGCACTTTCCGTTTGTTCAAACCCGGAGATGCCTTCAAATCAGTTTTTCAACAAGTGGTGGTGGGGAAATAGTTTCTGGGCTTGCACCCTATTTTCCCTGCGGTGCCGGGAAGTCATGCCTTTACTGTAAAACGCGAAAAACAAATGGAAAGGAAAAATGGGGGAGGGGGAGGGAAAAAAAAGGGTGGATGAAAACATGAACAAGAACGACCGCGCAGGTGTCTCTAAAATCGTTCTTCAGGTAACTCTACACCACAAACCCGATCTCAGTGTTAACCCAACACTTCCCCTCCCAGTTCCTTCTCGGTTGTCCGCCCCCCTTTCCACCTCCTCGCGCTCCCCAGGCCCCGGGGTTCGGGCGGGGGTGGGAGAGAGGAGGGGCGCGGGACGTTCCTGGCGTCTAGACTCCCTCCTCCCGCGCCAAGCCCGGCACGCCGGCACCCCACCGCCCTGAACCCGCCAGTAGGGCCGAGTCCCAGCTGCCAGCCGTGGGCCCAGGAACTCGACAGCCGAGTTGGCGGCAGTCTCAGGGGAGGCGGCGGCAGGAGCCTGCGGGAGGCGGCCGCTGTCAGGCTTCCCGTCTCCTCCCTCTTCCTCCCGCCGACAACGGCACCCCGGCCCCGCCCCCGGCTCCCGCTTCGGGACGGAAGGCCCGGGGCCCAGAGCCCGCACCAACGGCCGGGCCCACCCTCGGCCTCCCTAGCTGTCTCGGTACCGTAGGATCGAGGCCGCCGTTAGGGGAAGTAGATGAGACACGGTCGGAAAGGGAAAGAGGAGGAAGAAAAGGAAGAGCAAGGGGATGAGGGGGAAGGAGGACTCGTCGCTGCCGCCGTCGCCGCCGTTGCCCGATCGAGCCCCGCGGCGGCCGCTGTGTCCCCCGCCGCGCCCCGTCCTCCTGCACCGCCTATGGCAGAGCCCGTAGGCGGTCCCCAGCAACCGCCGAGTAGCATTGACCAACAGACCGCTGGTCTATCAAACAGACGGCTGGTTTGACCAATAGTAATGGAAGGGCAGGCATAATAATGATTGGCGGCTAGACTTATCCAGTGAAAACTGTGGGCGTGGGTGGGCGGAGCCGGAAGTAGAGCCCAGCAGAGAGGCCCCTGTCCGGCTAGGGCGGAGGGAAGGGGGAGGGAACTAGAAGAGGAGGAGGTTAGCCAAGGCAGCTACAGCGGCGGCGGCGCAGGGGCTGGTACGCGCTGGGCGGCGAGAGCCTCATGGCGGAGGAAGAGAGCGACCAAGAGGCCGAACGCCTCGGAGAAGAGCTCGTGGCCATTGTGGAGTCCCCGCTGGGCCCTGTGGGGCTTAGCTCAGAGGACGACGGCAGAAGTGGCGCTGGCGGCGGCAGCTGCGGCGGCTGCGGCGGTGGCGTCGGAATCAGCAGTCGGGATTACTGCCGACGCTTCTGTCAGGTGAGGCGCCCGTTGGCCGCCCCGACTTGTCACCCGGGTCCTGGGCCTCTCTGCGTCTCCTGGCCTTCTCGTCCGCGAATCTGAGCTGTGTTCAGTGCTCGCTTTTCCAGCTCAACAAGGAGGTTGAGGGTGAAGCTCCCCCTCCACCTATCCAGCTTGGGGTTGGGGGCGGGGAGCAGGACAGGGGTGACCCGCCGGCTTAGGGTTGCTAAGAAAGTGAGAGTTGGTCGGGGATGGAATGGCTGGAGAGAAGGAGGGTCAGCTGGCCAGAAAGCTCTGTCCTGACAAGCCTCTCCTACCCTAAACAGCCCCTTTCCTGACCGAGAGTCCCGCCTTTCTTATGTTTCCTACCTTGGTCCTTCTCACCTCCTTTTTAACCTCTGGTAACGTTTTTTGCCTCCTCTCCTGCTCCTCTTGCCCCTTGTATTTTCCCCTTTTTCGGGCATGGGAGGCATGCCAACTGCCTACCACCTCCTCTCCTGTCATAGTCACCCTTCCCCCTTCGGCTAGGGTCTCCTGTCATCCCTTCACAAGATCCCGCTGGGCCAGTTCTCCAATTGGCTTAGGCGCTGACCCACGCTGATTTAGTTACTTCTTCGGGCGGGGGGCGGGCGCTAAGGCAGGGCAGCGTGATTGTCATCTTTCCTTTTTTTTTTTTTTTTTTTACTTCCTTCCCTTCCCTTGACACATACACTTATTGTCTAATTAACTTTTCGTAGAGAAAGTCATTTTCCTGAAACTCTGGCTCCAGTTACATCCTCAACCCCCATTATCCTTTAAATTACAATGTATTTTATTTGGCCTGTAAAATACGGCATCTGAACAGTGACAGTAAATTATTTACTTAGTCCACTGTCACCAGGAATTGATGTTGTTTAAAGTGTTTGTAATCAAATGTTATAGAACCAAAGTACTTGTTTGTGGGTAACGTTTGTGTACGGTGCGTTCTCGTCTATGTACATTTGTAATTTAAATGTTTTGTTGTCATTCACAACACTCTTTGTTTTGTAAGCCATTTTGGAACAAAACATCTACTTTTTCCATTTCATTCCCTTTTTAAATGTTTATTATTTTGTATGTATTAGGGTTCAAATCCTGGTTCTACCATTTCTAGCACTGTTACCTAGAACAAGTTACTTAACCACTCTGTGCCTCAGTCTCCCCTTCTGCCAAATAGGGATAATAGTTAAATGAATAAATTTATGAAGAGTTTGGATCGCTTAGTTATTAATTTCATTTTGATAACAGGTAGGAAATAAAGTTAATGAGAAGTGAGCATCATGTTTGTTGACATTTGATTTTATGCCCTTAAAAGCATTAAAAGAAAAAGAATGCAGTTGACATTTTCAGGTAAGTTTTTAATGCTTTACTTCAAATTGTCTTTTGATTTCATTCCCTCCCCCCAATAAATAAGTTGGTTTGAAAGTTATAATTGCCATATAAAAGGTGTGTCAATTTCTTTGGCATAGCACTCTATTTAGTGACGTTCTTGAAAATATATTTTTATTTTGATAATTGGCATTCACTGAACTTAGAGGTTCAGTTTCTTGTTTGCATAGCACTTGTTTTCTAACTGTACCTTTTACTATACCTTTTATATTATGCTATTGGTAGACTTTGTGTCTACACAAATTTTAAACTTCTGAAAATTAGGATACAGTTAATATATTTATGGGCAGAAAATCTATAGCTTTCTGTTTTGCTCTTTATATCATTAACGAGCAACTTGTTTTGGTTGTACTTAGTTTAGTTAATTTATTTGATCAAATAATCCTTAATTGCAGTAGAATTTGAAATTTTATAATGAGGGTCAGAACGTTTTTGAAGAACTTTTAACTATTACTCTGTTTCTTGAACTCAATTTTAAGAACAAATGGACAGATTTAGATTGTGAAATACAGTGTTTGAACAGTGACAGTGAAGTATTTTAAGAAGAAGTTGACTATTTTATAAAATTTCACTACCTCCTAAATGTCCAAGGAAATAAAACTGAACAGGAAGAACTTAATTAACTTTTATTTTACATTCCTAAGATATACTTTCATGTTACTGACTTTCACCTGAAATCTCATTACCTATTTTATAATACTCTAGATTACCAATAGATCTGTTCTTAGGTTAGTCTTCATCTCTTACAGATGATCTTTGTGAAGTTTTTTTTTTTACATTAAAACTTTTAGATGGAATAAAAAATTACCTTTATTAAATTAGATTTTATCTACTGATTAATAAAATTCTATAGTTATTCTGTTTTATTTGCCAGTAAGGTAAGCAGTCGATTTTATAATTGAATTCCCAAAGATTGTTTCATTTTAAAGATTTGGTTTTCTAATATTTACTGATATTATTAATATTAAACATTAATATTAAGTATCAAAATGAATTTGAATTTATCAGTAAATGACTTAATTGTGAGTAATCTGTAAAATGGCTAGTATGCACTTGTGTGGGTGACAGTTAACTAAATATATGAATTATACACACAGCCTGATGGTGTTGGGAAGAAAGGTCCAATTTATCTTCTTCCCTTTAGAGGGAAATATGGAGAGGAAGGAATACTTCTAGAGAGATTCTTCTGTCTTTTCTCACAAGGAAAAGTAAAATAGGAGATAAGGTGTAATGTTGTACTAACTGACTCTATCACATCCTCCCTGGGCTCTTGTTAGTAGACTCTCAATAAATGCTTCAATAGAATTGGCCCTTAACTGATACTTAATTTGCTTTGAGGATGAAAGATAGGAGAAAGTAACTTTTATTGAGGGCCTACTAACTCTTGGCCTTCAGATAGCAAATTACATAGTTGAAATTGAGGCCTGAACAAGTTAATTTGTCTTAGTTTCTGATAGGTAGGTAGACAAGCTGGGATCTGAACCTAGCCTTCAGTTTCTACTTGAAATTACAAATAAATTTTCAAATAATTATGGAGGGGATTTTTTTTGGCAAGTGCTGCAAAGAGAAAAAAGTTACTGGAAATACTCAGGAAATCATGGATGAAAAGTTTAAAAAGTACTCTTTTGTTATGCCGCAGTAGTAAAAAATATTTCAAAAAACAGATCATTATTGTCTGTTTGGCTTGTTAGGTGCCATGAACATTTCTCCAATTCCTGAAGGTTTTAATAATTCAACTTATTTTGTCACCAAATGTATTGAAATATATATTTTGCCATAAATTGATTGTAAACTAAGCAAGTTAAGGTACTTTCTTCTTATTCAGTGCCAGAGTGACTATAGTACTAGAGTAATAAATATTTCTAGAAACACTGATACGTTGATTAAAATAGACTTTAAATTTTTCACACTACAATGGGGTTAATAGTCATTCCATCAGGATGTCATGAGTATAAAATGAGAGAATGAACATAAAGTGTTTAGTACTATACCTAGCTCATAGATAGGCTTAAAGAGATAGAGGCTATTAATATTTCTCTCTTGTGAAATCCTCTGAGGATTTAGGAGGGACATTAGAGATAATCTAATCTGTAGGCAGTTTATAGTCTGTGTCCCATAATAAACTTTAGAAATGTTATAATTCTTAAATTCCGTTATTTAACTAGAAAAGCTGAAGCACAATAATATGCAAAACAACTACATTTTCTCTATGGCAGAGGTTCTCAGAGATTTGGTTCCTACACAAGACATTTGGCAATGTCAGGAGATTTCTTTTTTTTTTCCTTTCTTTTTTGAGACAGAGTCTAGCTCTGTTGCCCAGGCTAGAGTGCTGTGGTTTAGCTTAGTTCACAGCAACCTCAAACTGCTGGGCACAAGTGATACCCCTGCCTCAGCCTCCCAAGTAGCTGGGACTACAGGTGTGTACCACCGCCTGACTAATTTTTTTTAATTATTTTTCATAGAGGCAGGTGTTGGTCTTGCTCAGGCTGGTCTCCAACTCCTGACCTCAAGTGATCCTCCCTCCTCAGCCTCCCAGAGTAGTGAGAGGAGATATTTTTTATTGTCTTTATTAGGGTAAGCTGCTGGCATAAAGATCAGAGGTGCTGGTGAACATCCTACAATGCACAAGATAGCTCCAACAACGAAGAATTATCTGGTTTAAAATATCAGTAGTGGCTAGGTTGAGAACTGAGAAACTCTGCTCTACCCTTACTTTGGGACTATTAGTGGATACTTTATGTCTTAATGCTGATACAAATGGCAAAAATGTTTTTAATGATCCTCAAATGATTTTTGAGTAACTACCATGGGCCAGGCACTGTAATAGGTGCAGAAAAGGCAATGTTAGCAGAAGAAAGGGTAATTTGCCTCATTGTTTTATAAAATACATGCTAATCTCTCTTACTTTAGAGAAATTAAATTTTAATTGTTTTAGGAAAAAACAATCCTTATCTCTTGGTCTCGGTATAGAATTTACAAAATATAATTCTATGAGTAGTTTTTTTAAGTATAGTGTACTTTAACAATTCTTGATATTAATTGGAATTTTTAAAAATTTTCCTTTTATTTTTATCAATGTATGTAGTTTAAAAAGTCATACAAGGCCTAAATATTAGGAATTGCATTTTGCTGGTAATAGAGACCTGGTTTACATTTATTTCTCATATAAACAATCTTGATAGATAGTGTAGGGATGGTATGGTGGCCTTATTATTATATAATCATTTGCTCTTTCTTTCTTATTAGTCATCCTTATCTTCCCATCCATCATGATCCAGGATAGTTGCTGAAGTTCCAGCTATCACATCTGACTTCCGGGTGGCAGGAACTGGATGTCTCTGTGGGGCAAGCCCAAAACAATTTGCCCTAAATTCTACTCAGTGACTTCAATTTTTTTAGCTATCCCCGTATGAAAAAAAAATGTTCAAGATTTTTTTTTTAAATTTTGTTTTTTCTTGGTCAACACATGCCTATGATTCTTTTAGTAAGGAAGGAAGAAAACAAGAATGGATAGTATAGAAGCAACCAGCTAGTTTTTTGGGGGTTGGAAGCACAGCTTATATTAATCATAAAAAATAGCAGTCATGCTCTGTCCCTTTCCTTCCTTAATT